AAAAAAAAAAAAAAAAAAAAAAAAAAAAGGGTAGACGAACTGTGCAACTTTACGAAAATGACTTCGTCTTTCTACCGTCTTCCCCCCAACATAACGCATATTCATTGTATTCAAGGTTGCGAAGATAACCCATGATTTGAATAGAACGCGTGTGCGTTGTATTCAAATATCAGGGATGTAGGGATGTTCGAATAGCACACATATGCATTCTTCTATTCGAATAAAAAACAACCTTTGCGCTGTTGCAGTATTCGTTTACAAAGCACAGTCCTCATGTCTCCGCGTGGACGTTTCTCAATCCAGTCCTCGTTCCTGCACTAGACACCTTCCCAGTCCTCATTCACGTAGACATCTTTCCAGTCCCCATTCAGCCAATCGTTCTCGTCCTGAGTCGTCAGTCTCTTTTACAGTGGCAGCACAAAGCCGTTGAAATGTTTTTGGCCTTCGGGACATCACAGCCGGAAATTTGTTTTTGGGAACAATGCAGAGGATTAATCAATTAAATTTTTGATAGACTCCTGTGCAATCAAAGGAGGACACGCACAGATCGAGAAATGGTGAAAAATAATAATAATAAGATAATAGTAATAATAATAATAGTCAGAATGCACAGAGATAATGGGGCATGCCCTTGTCGCTTCCTGATGAGGAACAATCTTCGTCGCCAGCGAAAATGCGTTCAGATTCTCGAGTGTCTTTTTGTGTGTGTTTGTGTGTGTCTTTATTACAAGCCGGGATTCAACGTCCCTTACACTTCGGAGTTTTTTTTTTTCCCTGATCTTCAGAGGTTTTTCAATAAGGGCTGCATGGACAACTGATAACGAGAAGATTTTTGTTGGGGGAAAAGAAGAAAAAAGAGGAATTTTTGGGGGGGAATCTATGCACGAGTCACAAAAACAAGTTATAATTGCACTGTGGGCCAAGATACAGTTCCGATTTGCAGTTCAGGCAATGTATACAAACCAGCTTTCTGGCCAGGTGTACGGTGCCCCAGGTGCAATAATTGCAAACTCTATCTTGCCCCATAGTGCAATTACAACTCATTTTTGTGACTCCTGCGCAATTACCCTATCTTGTTTTCTTTCCTGGGGTACATTATGGGCTAATTAAAGTGAACTTCCTTTCCTGCAGGTGGAGCTTCCCACGGATAGTTTTTTTTTTTTTTTTTACCAAGCTATGTTAATGGGGGGTAAGTAAACCATTTCTGGGTCAAATTGTGGGGTACTCCGTGGGCTCCATTAATATGTTTGCAATAATGCACGGGTCTTGCGAACCCTGGGAAACAACACAGTGACTACTGGTAGAGTCTGTGGCCATCAGCCAAATGCATCCAGCACAGCATCAGCTTGACATGTTCTAACCTCCTTGACGAGTCACAGAAAGTCCAGGGAAACAGAGTCTGCCTATGTCATCCTCCTCTTTTTTGTTGTGGAGATTTGTATGGCAAACATGACATCACACAACACACACACACAGATGCTAGGCACCGGCACTGGACAGACAATTCAAACACTGAAAGCTGTTAACCATGAGCCAGAGACTGCAAACACGAAAGAAAATCAGGGTTTGAATGTGTGAGGAGGAAAGGATGACGTACACACACACACACACACACACACACACACGCACACACAGATGCTAGGCA